CGTCCCATTTATCCGCCAAAATGGCCGCCATCTTTGAAATAGGCACCGTGTAACCGCTAAAAATGGTTGCCATCTTGGAAATATCTTCATGAAGTGATGGAAAACAAATCTGATATATAGTCACGACCCCTGCCAATATTAATACTCAGAAAAATGTCAACATTGTTTTTTTTTACATTAAACATCAAAACCTTCAAAATAAAGCGTATTCCACGATTTCTACCGGAAAAGCCGGACAATCAGTTTTATCACAAGGCCAATTAGCGCCCCACGTGAGGTAAAATAGCTCGATTTATATAAACAGGTCAGTTAGCAGGCTTGGTGTCAAGGGTGACCCATATTTCAGGGCTAGGCCGTCCCATATACATGGCCCTAGGCCTAGCACAACGTATATGTTTTGTTTTTTTCAGTTGTTATAGTAACGAGCAATTGTAAGGCAATCTGTCGAAATCAAGGCGCGGTGTATCTGTGTGCAGACAAGCATTTTGCAGGCGACATTTCATTCTCCACGTTTTTATCTGTTTAGACCCCGTCATTTTGTATTTGTTAGATCGTAAGATAGCTTGACTTGTGAGATTGCTTGCTGCCGACATAACGGAGCGACTGCGGAGAAACGTGCAATTCTTTATAAAAGCTGTTTGATATTTGGCAACTCGTCATGTAGTCCCCTAAGTGGCTTTATTTATTACTCTACTGCGAATACTAACAACCGTCCAATTCTTTAGTTACGTAAATGTGTGATATTTCGTGAGTTTTTATACCTATGTTAGAACTACCCCACTGCATGGGTGAAGAACATCGTAGGATGTTATTCAAATCTTCGTCAATAACAGCAACCACTAAAGACCGACAATTGCGTTTATATTCTAACCATTATTAATTACTGGCTGTCCAATTCTTTAGTTACGTAATTGTGTGATATTTCGTGAGTTTTGATGTTTGCAAGAATTACCCCATTGTATGGTTGAAGAACTTCGTAGGATGTTAAAGAACTCTTCGTGAATAACAGCAACCACTAAAGACCGACAACTGCGTTCATATTCAAACCATTATTAAGGGCTTCATCTTGAGAATGTCTCAAGTGTTTTCAACAAATTCAATATCTGGAATTTTCAACATACAAACCATCTAGATCTGTTAAAATTAAAATTTCCGTCCCTGGAGATATACTGAGAGTATCATGAAAACAGAACACTTGAAACGCAAATTTGTGCCTTTATTAAAAAGGCATAGTGAAGAGTAGTCAGTATTGTTAGCCCTTTGAAAAAAAAATTATTATCATAAATATAATTCACGGAAACCCATCTCTTTGATTATCTGTTACTAGAGCCGGCGATATCTGTCTTTTTGCTATACCAAACACTAGTGCCGGATTTAGAACCACAGAGGCCCTAAGCACTTAAAGGATTTTGGTGCCCCCATATATATATATATATATATATATATATATATATATATATATATATATATATATGTGTGTGTGTGTGTAATTCAAAATATAAACAATAATAAACACACAAACAACCATCATTAATTGCGACAAAACAGGTAACAATGTGAAAAGACAAAAACAATGAAAAAACATTTGAATGTTCTGAATTCATTTTTAAATTGAATATTGGCATCTAACAAAGCAGACATTCTGTAGTACCCCCAATACCATGATGCCCTAAGCACGTGCTTATTTTGCTTAGTGGTTAAACAAGCCCTACTAAGCCAGTCCAGGGTTCACGGATAAAATGGAATCTAAATCCAAGCGAACGTCTGTTGCAAAAAATAATGATGTCAATAATCATTTAATTTAATTAGTTTTACAGGGGATGAAAGTAATTTAGACGTTTAAACCGCTTTATTGTGGAAGGCGAAAAGTCATAGTATGTTGTGACGTAAAATAAGATTTGAAACACCGGCTCTTAGCGTTTTCACAAGGTTGATGCACTTGTCTGGAATTACATAGGGACCACCATTTGAACAATCCCAGCTAGTCTGAAATTTAAAAAGTGGGAAATACTGAGACCTGTAGAGCATTTACAAAGTTTCTGTGACAGCAGCACTACAACAGGGCCACTCAATGCGCCACTAGCTGAACAATCCCAGCAGTTCTGAAAAAATCGCGAATACTGTGACATATAGATTGGGCGCCTTTAAGGTTTTGTTGATTGGGGCAGTAACTCTGTGAACAATCTTTGCGCGACTCTCAATTGCTGCTGGGTTCATCTATTTGCTGTGGATTGCTTATCGTGTTTACTGTGGACAGGGGTCATCTATTTGCTGTGGATTGCTTATTGTGTTTACTGTGGACAGGGGTCATCTATTTGCTGTGGATTGCTTATCGTGTTAACTGGAAAACCAACCGTGGCTTTATCTTAATGGGGGTTGGTGCCCTAGTCCTGTTGCGCTTAATATTAGCCGGACAGCCCTAGCTACGAGAACGTAACTAAAAACGCTGAGATATACTGATGTGCTTGTTTTAAGCTACGATTGGATGCCTTTAGTTCCAAGTGGCAAACTCAATTTCTTTATTGATGTATTTACCATCTTAAAAAATAAGTTAATTTTATACTAAAAGTACTTATTACACATACGCAGTCCAATCTACTGAAACAACATTCATTTATCAGCAAATATTGACAATAAAGTAAATCAAGCATTGTTTTTATCAAAATTGATTCGGACGTTCATAATTACGGCGTATTATTACTGCGCAACTCTGATCAGATTAGTACTTTGATTGGCTATTGCACACGAGGCCCCGCCTTTATGTGTTACAGACGTAAATTTAAAATGTCGGAAAAAGCAATCTACTGTCGCTTTGATTTAAAGAGAGGGGATTTGTACCCGTGTCAGGTAGGATTATATGCTTAATTGTAGTTGGGTGTGGTAGAATTATTATAAATAACTATAATCAATCATTGTTTTGATGAAAAATATTGTCAATTTTGTTTACTAATGCCGGATGCGAATCGCTCCCACATTTGCTACGTTGAAGTTAATAGGACCAACTCTTATCTAGAAACACGGACGGTTGAGAGATGAGGTTCGTTATCTAGGACAACCCCAACTACTAATTTGAAAGAAAAATAAATCAAACAAAGTGTAGCATGCAGTCGGATGTGACGAAAAAACTGTTGTCCAGTGTACACCTTGGCATGCACGTAAAAGAACCCTTAGCAGTTAAAATTCAATTGCTGCCCGAGCAAGATTTTCCTCAAAACAGCCTGCATGGCGTTTGACCCCTTTTCATTCATTCATTGCTATTGGGTCTGAATTTAAACACAACCAACATCTTCTTATATTTTCTAATTCGAGAACATGTCAAAATTACCGTAACCGTAACCTTGGTGTCACGTGGCGCTCTACCTATTTCCAGCTCTATTTAAACGTGAATAATGCTATTTAGATTTGCGTTATATATTCAGACCTAATTTAACACAAATATATATATTTTTTGACCTTTGAATGAAAGATGTTATGTCTTCAAGTAGCCGAAAAAGATAAACCAATTATCACGCAACTTGGCTTTACAATTTATATTCATTGCTTTGGAATATGATATATGTTTGCTTTAACACCACAGCCTATGTATTTACATACTATTAAGGGAGTTTTTGCTTTTGGTTATTACCATACGCTATCCGCAATCAGGTTTTCAATTAGAATATATTTTAGAATTTACCCAGTAGAATTCAAATATCATAGTGGGTGGCTTAAAGGTGAGGTAGCACGATTTTTCGCACAGCAAACCCGAAATAAAAGAATATGTTCATGGCTCATATAAGGCTGTAAGCGACGAATGAGGTTCACCTATAGTAAAAAACATTATTTTTGATTTTACTGAAATTTGTATATGACATATTCCATTTCAAAATAAAACTATTGTGCTCGATTTAGATCAATGAACGGTGCCTCGGTGTGATTGAAAGATCTGCGTTCTCATTGGCGGTTTCCAGTAAACAACGAAGAGCGTTAAATGAAGCTTAATATTAAAAATATACTTATATCAGTTTAAACTTTGCTATCAGACGTGCGTTTGTAAAAACGGTGACACGTGTGTCTTGACATCTGCATGCTCTTGAATTCTTATTCTATGTGTACAAGGGGTCTCGATTTTTTGAACTACCGAAAGAATATAAAACACAATCTTTGTAAGTTCACAAGAGCGTTATTTTATACACCTGAACACCACAAAAATGTGAAGGATTCATAAATTGAGACTTTCAGCGACTGTATCTCAGTGATGTATGTAGAGGCGAGGCAATCTGTCTCAAGTTTATTAAGTTGAACATTTCTATTGTAAATAAATACCAACCCTTAATACAAAGTCCAACGGTTAAAAAAACATACCCAAACGCGAGAATTCGGCAAAATCGAGTATAGACAACAAATGAACCAGACACATGAGAAAAATGCCACAATATAAATGTCAAATCCAAATATTTTGTCATCGACTAGCTAATATCATTAAACACTAGTGCTCCTTTAAGTGTTATCCAATATCGTATGAAGATATTGTTTGCTACAAGGAAGCGCCAAATGGCATATGCAGTGTTATTTGAAAAAGCACCTTGACATTTAATCGAATATTCTTTATTAATTTTACCGGATCACCAAATTGATATTATCTTAAAATATATTCTGTGTAGGATAAAGCACGAGACCGAGGTTATGCTGGAGCAAGAACGACTGAAGAATATATCCCGAGAAAAATAAAAACCACCATGCCGATGTTTTTCTTTCGAGGGTTTTTTCTGAAGTCTTTCTTGCTTACATGTACGTCAAAATTTATGAGAATATCACAGAATTCCAGTAAGAAAAGCCTATTTCACGTTTTCTAATGGAAAATAAAAACCTGCCCTGGGAAAATAAACCGTTACAGGTTTAAAGAAAAACTTTCAGAAGAATAACCCCAGATTTCATTGTATATATTCAAAGCTGCCTCGACTTTCAGATCGCAATTATTTCGGACATAGAATATTCTGCGATAACTTTAATCATTTGACATCACGAACAATGGTAAATATCGCCAGAGCTGACGAAATCTCGCTTATTAACACCCGATATGTTTATTTAGCGCTCAGTGACTAGTAAAAATAAATATTTAGCATAACAATGTCACTTCCCTATTAAATTAGTGTGAGATCTCGTTTGTAGGATGAGCATCATGTTTTATTCCAGTAAAATTAATTCTACAATTAGTCTTTTAATCACAACTAACATGTCGTACAGATCATCGGATTTAGCTCCTGGGCAATCCACTGCACCAATGGAGTATTTAATCGTTCCCCGTTACATTCAAGATACACAATTCAGTATTCTGTAGAAAAATTTCCAATACTAACTTTACACCATTTATCATCAGCGGGAATTGGGTTCATAGCAAATATTTACAATGAAATGACAAATAATTCTGGTTCCGTGATCAGGAAGTCGTGTGAGCAGATTGTTGGATCTATCTGTCGTACTGCACTTGTGCATAATGACTGATGATAATCCCTATAACGGTATACAATATGACACCACACACTATTGCGGCAATACAAAAGTTTTTAGCCATCTGACCATTTGATCTGGCTTTAGAGATATTCATATTATCTGAAGCATTGGTCGACTGAAACGATAAGAAATGAAAAATATCAAAACGTGTTTAAGAAATGATTCAATACAATATGAATGCAAGAGTTCAACAAAAAAAGATTGATGTGGTCTATTTGAATACATGAGAAGTGGGATCAGGCACTGTAACAGAGCAAACAAGCCATCTCTCGTACACAAAATATATCCATGACCACGAGCAGTTATATATGTTATCTAAATCCAGCATGTATTATTTGATATACATTATGAACTTGCAAAATTAGTGGGAAGCGTTATTTGGTGTCTCAGGGACATCAAATGCGAATAAATTTGTTGTTAAGTCTGTTATGTTTTATTCGGGCTTTGATAAAGCTTTAGTACCAAGTTACTGGTATTTGCTTGCAACCTTTCACCTCTTTAGTAAATTGATCTTATTCAAATTGAGCTTAAGTATGTAAGTCACGTTCTGTTAATCCAAAGATCAATTCCAGGTACGACAGGGTCAGGTTGTGTAGTCAGTTTAATTATATTTATACCATACTTTTTTCTTTTTCTTTTTGAATGTAACAGATGTAACCATTCTTCTAAAGGTACAGATTTGGACTGACTGTTCATCAAGTTAACGAATAGAAAGTTCTGACTTGCGGTTTTAAATAATTTTGTCAATCATAATACGTACAATCAGACGTCAAAGAAGTTGTTAGATCTTTGATTCACCAGATCTACATGTAATATGGACCAACCGCTAGAAATAACATCTAGTTTCTTCAGTAAATATAGACTGTACACTGTCTTACAAATCTGATAAAACCCTAGTCGGTTATCCATAGATAAACCTAAGTATATAGTATATTGAGATGTTTATATACCCTTGTCATAAATGGTCAACAACAGTATTAGTAAATGACACTTAAGATATACATCATCCGTATAATTACAGTTTGGGAGTTCAGTTATCAAAGTTTGTTTAATACAAATAAATCTTAATGAAATGCGTTTTTATCCATGTCTTAATTCAGATATTGAAACCAGATTTTATTGCTTATTTCCTTAAGAAAATAATGGTCGTGTAATTGTAATTTGATATTTCTGTTGCTGTGTAAATCAATGGAAAGATCTTAAGAAAGAACCCGTAACTAATAATGTTCCGAACGGAATCTTTGGCAGATCTCGCGTCGATTAATTCTCTGTAAGATACTCTTCAGGTTTTTAATAATCACTCACGGAAAGTGGTGACCAGACGCTTATTATTAAATAGGAACCCCTTTATATAAACACACGGCTAAGCCAAGCTATGCCCAAGGAGAGGGGGCTGCAGCCGGTAAATCTCCCCGGTGCCCATTAAGCCCCAGGGGCCCATTGATTACTATTTTGCCCCGGCACAATTCTGTCGGTGTTCCTGGCCCTAAGATTATAATTACATCACATGTTTGGATTATGTTGCCCATGCTTAAAACTTAAATGAATATAGAACGACTGTAGCCCGAACTAAAACTAAACTACTCACCCCGATAGCATAGATAATGGCTACCAGACCAAAGGGCCAGAAACAACATAATGTAAGTATAGACAATCCCAAATAATTTGGTGGTCTTATAAAAACTACACTGCTTGATACTGGTTCCTCTACCTGAAATATAAGTTAATGCAAGTCAGTATAATAATAAATATCAAGACCATAATACTTCAAAACAATACTTAGTTTATGTACAAATTGTGTGGAGCACCCTTATATTATATAATAAGGCCCTGGTGTTTTCCTATTAAAGCCTATAAGTCTCGAAATGATTGAGTGGACTTTAAACCCCTTTAAACTAAACATGCATTATACAAGAAGGAGAGAGAGGGGAGAGAGAGAGAGAGAGAGAGAGAGAGAGAGAGAGAGAGGGCGTCCAATCGACACAAACTAGGTCATTTCTGGACTAACACATGGTTCAATTTTATTTCAATACTTCGCTTGTGCGTAGGGGTCTTTACCAGTTGGAGAAAACCGGAGGACCCGGGGAAACCCCACGAGGTTGGACAGGCAAAGAGAGAGAGAGATGGGTTTAACGGCCTCTCGACACAAACTAGGTCATTTCGGGACTAACACAAGGTTCATTATCATTTCAATAATTCGCTTGCGCGTAGGGGTCTTTAGCAGTGGAGGGAAACCGGAGAAGCCGAAGAAAACCCACGAGGTTCAATGGCTAATATCTCTGCTCAGAGTCAAGCAATTTGAGTGAAATTTTCAGCATATTTCTGCGTTCATTATCTATTCATCTAGTTCTCAGTTATTCTATAGCGAGAACTATCAGCTCTTTATCTAATCTTATCCAATCTTACCTAATGGCCCTTTAAACGATTAAAATTTATGTTCATGGATATTCATGAGTAGAAATGCAATATCGTTCGTAAAACAATATGGCGGTCAGTTTAGATAGCGATAATTTCCATTAGGATTGCTCTATATGAATAATTCGCAGACCAGTGTGTTCTTTAATACGACATTCGTTATTATTGTGTATATAAGTTTACGTTTGCTTTTAATAACAGACATTAATTTGTAGACTAAATTTATTTTATTTGTGTCTCTGTCCAGTCGAGTTTCTCCATAGCATTACTCATATTTTAAATAAAAGAATACATGTTTTGTGCTATATTAGGTGTGTAGCAGTGCTTTCCCATCTGAACGTATAGAAGAAAACAGATAAAAGTTACTTCATAGGATCACACCGAAATTAGAAACCTAAACATTTACTTACAACAACATTTGTATTACGACCAACGTTACCATACATTGGTCTGGCACCTGTTACTGGCAGCGACAAGCTGCGAACGTTATTTCTTGCAGGAACACAAATGGGTTGTTTTTTTAAAAGTGAAGTATCAGCATTGTCGGATGTTTGCTTAAAACACCCGTAATCTGTGGTAGGTACCCTAGCTGTAGATTGGTCGTAACCGCCGGTTAGTTTGTCTGTGTCGCCTTCTTGATTGTAGCCATAGTCATCGGTGTATTGGTTGGGTAAATTACTTTCTGAAAGCAAAGTGAGGTAAAAATTGAAATAAAATAAGATAAAATAAAACGATCAAAAAGTAAGTAGTCGTCTCTGCCGAAAAACAGATTGACATTTTGAATTAGCCATTGGCTATGCATTTTTTTAGGGATAATACTCGGGTGCAATCGTACTTAAAACCAAAGAGAATGCTTTTAATGATTTAGAACCGAGGGCATATTTATTTATTTAATGGAAATAATATTGTAAATTTGGAAATGTATTTTACGCATTAAAACGTAGACTGTTATCTGTTGTTTTGAACGGATATTCTAAAACAAAGTAAGTGCTGGAGAACCGAGGTCCATAAACGGATTAGAAGTATTAGATTTGATAGAAGTGACACAATACAAGTAAAAAAACGGACGTTTTTGAGAGAGAGAGAGAGAGAGAGAGAGGGGGGGTCCTATCTTGCCTTTAAAATATTGGTTTCAAATATCCAATATTTATGACACTGAGCTTTTTATAATCAGTACACGAATCGTGTATTCTATGGTTTCGGGCGTCATTTATCATGAAAAATATCCTACAAGACAATGTGAAAGTAATTACCGGTAGTAATGGCCTATTCACAAACGACAAAATAATAACATAACGCGAAGAATGGACTAAGTAGGCGTAAACGACTGTCGTTCAATTTGGACTGTTCACGTATTTGACAGAACAGAACATAATTGACTAGAAATTACAGGATTTATTTTACAAATCACTTTATATATATTCATGTTACAATACTTCTGCCTTTAGACAACCCGGGGAGTTCTTGCCATTCCCCATTCCTATCAATGCGTCAAGCTGTGCAGTTCAAGACATTCAAATATAGCACTACAGATGCCTCCTATGTTTCATCAATCCTCGAAAGAGAATGACCAGGACTGCCCGTGGGGAAGCAGCCACTATAGTACTGCCCGAAGATCCCACGCGCCAGCTCCTCTGAAGGCCAGCTAGATCAGGTCCAAGATGCTGAGCTTCCTGGACCTGTCCCAAGACCCTGTAGATCTCCATAATGGAGAGCAGCAGAAGTCCCCGAAGAAAACCAAGACCCGCACGCATCTCACCCTGAGCAAATATAGGGCATAGTGGAATGGTTCAAGGTCAACAAAGTCCTCTAAGTATAACAAACTTCAAAAACACGCACTGCTAATTGATGCTCGACCACGTCACGTTGTAATACGTCCCTAGTAGGCTTGAAGTATGACAATTCCGTTCATAGTAGGGCAAGTTCGTTCGTAGTTCGTCCATCGAGTTTTAATTACGTTGCCACCCCGTCTAATTACAGGACGAGTAACATTTTGAACAGACTCGAAGTTCTAGAAAACCCCTCCCGTTCAAGCCAGTCCATGAAGTTCTTAAACAAATCAATCGTAAACAGTTATTACTACGTTCACTCTGACCGCACATAGTTTGGCAACATTTTCTAGAAAGTAGTGCGAACTAGTTTCATGTGATCGGGAGCTTTACGGACGTGCAGTTTGGCTTGTTTTAAATTTTTGTTATTTTGAACGAAGACTGAAATTCAACTAACTACTCTATCAAATTACTAGGCCCATTTCGGGACTAACACATGGTTCAATTTTATTTTAATAAATCGCTTGAGCGAGGGGGTCTTTAGCAGTGGGAGGAAACCGGAGGACCCGGAGAAACGCTACCAGGTAGGACAGGCATCAAATAATTTAAAGAAGTGATTCAATTTTTGCCCGAGAAGCATCGCTACGCCCTACTCTTATTCTGATTTTTCAACTGTCAAATGATCTTTAATGGCGAACACGGTATATAGTCCCATACGAGCGATTAGTGGGTTCGAACCCGGAAACCCCTAGTTAGATGGTCAATGCCCTAACCAAAGAGCAACCGTACCGTCATAAACATTTTAGTAGTAATACAGACAAAATGTAAAGTTTTCCAGAAGAATATGTGTGATGAAACACATATAAAGAAACTCAATACGCCCCGGTGCCAAATTGGATGCAGAACAACATACATTTTCATGGAGCAGATTAGATTTCCATTAACCCATAAATATTGAAAGTACTTCTTTTGACAACATAAGTGTTCTATAACAAAATTAATCCCAGAGACGAGACAGTTAAACGATGCGAATGCTAGAGGAACCTTGATTAGGTTCAATTTGTTTAATTTAAAGCTTTTCTATTACAGATATGTCCATTTGTATAAACTGTTATTCTGTTCAATCACATAATATTTCCGATAGCCCTTGCTAGCTAAAGAGATGTTTTGTTGAGCAGTTTTTGATTATGTCTAGTACGCAATGCTGAGAATGACTAATGGCAAAACATTACAAAAGTACAAAAAAGTGTGTAAGCTGCGTGACCTCTTTGGCAAGAGAAGTGGTACTTACTAGGTGTTCTTAATGTCTATGCATACACTGCCTCATGCATTACATTACTTACAGAAAAAGTGTGCAACTCTTAGGGTTACAGTCAAGGTATGGTGCTAAGGATATGAACATTTAACCGGTAAATTCGGAGATATCGTTGGTAGCAACTCCAACGGAACTCTGGTCAACGGAATAGTATTAATTAAAACGAATAACTTGTGTTCACATTGGCGTGTACATTAAAGATTCCATGAAAACCTGAAGACGTTGCTTACCCACCAAACTTTTACTCCCTTCCACTGCACAAGTAAACATAATAAATACAAATAAATGCATTTTAGTCTCAAAATAATATGTCGACGAGACACGAAACCCCGCCTTGGATATGTATCTTCGGATATTAAATAAGTTTAAAAGGCCGATTCCTTACTTTACGTTGTTTTCATTTGGCTGAATGTTTTTGTTCACGATTTGGGACAAATATGAATTACGTTAGGAAATTATTAGAACAAAAATCTTCCCTAAAGTAGCAAAAAGAATGATTAACAATCTACCCTTTAATAGAAACTATTTATTATAAAAAGAAACTAAACGCATTCGCAATTTCCGTGTCATAAAATCGTATTTTCTGCAACGCTATTATCGAAATAAAAACTCGATAATAATTCAATTTAAGTCTTATTTAGTTACATCACATAGAGCTGTACTGGTTTAAAAACAGCAACCTAACACATTCTTAATGGTTCATGCAATCTGCAAAGCTTTTTGTTCGAGGCTATATATAACTCCATTTTCTTGCTTAACATAGTTTGTAAGTTGCAAACAATATGTCTTAAATTGTTTCAAAGAACGAAACAAAATAGAATTTTCAACATTGCATCTAACTGTGATTGCGATAATTTTGTCCATAATTATAGTTCCTATATTACAATACTATGAAGAAAATTGAATATAAAACTGATAATTGCACGTTTGGTCCTCTCCCAACAGTATTTCTACAGATAATTATACCATTATACCAGGAAAATATTCTATAGACGTTAGGTCACCGTCTCTAATTTGGTCCTCTCCCAACAGTATTTCTACAGATAATTATACCATTATACAGGAAAATATTCTATAGACGTTAGGTCACCGTCTCTAATATGGGATTTGCTGTACATATATATATATATATATATATATATATATATATATATATCGGTACACCACAGTAAGTTCAAGCAAAGGTTTATTATCCATTTGCAGTGCGGCAATGTGCATCATGGCAATTATATTATGGCGCCAACAGTTTCAACAATACTGACAATAATACAAAGCAGACAATGACATCAGAATAACAGACACATAAGCATCGGCTGTGGTCAGTTTGAACTACAGATGGGTTTAAAAAAAAACACAATTATTTAAACGCTGCCTAGCGATTTCAATGTGAAACCAAGTTAATATTTTGTCTAAAATTGTCAACAACATGGCCATCTCATTTTGAACAAAGGAAACGACCCCCCCCCCCCCCCCGCCACCAAATTTAGACTGCATGTTCAGATTTTAATTAAAATGAACACGGTACTGTAACTTTGGGTTCATAATAATAATTTAGACCACTTTTTGTGTTTTGGCCATGGCAGAAACATTCGTGTTTTAAGTTAGTATGAAGATGGAAGGATTCCAATTGAAGCTAGCAAACTAAAGACATAATACAACTTTTAACAAGGAAATAAAAGTAATTATTACTATATTAAACATATACCCACTCGGCTAATTATCAAATATTCAAGACCTGATCTATCTAAACAACAAGTACCATACCGATATGGACCAGGCATAGGAGACCGTGGGCTGCCCCCCTCCACCCCGATTCGGTGTCCCGTCCATTTTTGGGGCAATTAATGTATTTTCGTTTTTCGGGCACAAACATCAGAGAATGAGACCTTAATTGTAATTGTACAATTGTATATCTGTAAAATGAAAACGCTCGTGGTTTACGATTTGAATACTCAATAATACCTAAGAAAATTTGTGGAAAACTCGTATTCTGAAAATTTGGGTGACAAAAAAAATGTTCGTGCAGAGATGTCACGTTATAAAAATTCGAAGCCCATCAATCGATGCACAGCACAGAGTCTCAAGAACAACGCATACTGCCCATCGTACATGACCAAATACAACAGCAATAACAACAAGATGAGTATATCTCGGTGATGGAGGAACAGGTATATGGCTCAAAGTATATACAATTTAATTTGTATAGTAAATACGGTCGGCGAAGATCTCTAGAGTTCTAATGTCCCTACAGCCACTCTGATAAATTTTACATAATACTGACGACTATAGAACTCACAACAAAACTTGTTTCAGACCAGCTATTTTACTCAATTTTCTATTGCATTATTAAAGACTGAAGAAATCGTTTTCTTTGTTAAGACCCTGTAGCCTTCCTAAAATTATTGCATCGTAAAAGGCTGTAAGCTATATGAGCCTGTATTCTATTTACAATTAGTTGAAAAAAAAATATCCATCCATTAAAGGTTATTGACTAATAAAGAATAAGTTGATTAGAATGTCACTCTAGTTCATTACCAGTAGCTTCTCTGCGATTTCTCTAAGAGTTTTGCCTAAATTAAGATAAATGCTTCCACATTA